AAAGGGAGAAATATAGATGTTGAACAGAATAGGGTCAAGTACAGAGCCTTGTGGTACCCTAAAGTGAAGCTGAGATGGCTCACTAGTAACACTTGAAACTGAAACTGATTGACATCGATGTTGAAGATAAGATTCAAACCACTGGAGAGCCATATCAGTAGTACCAAGATTGTTATCTCTGAACATTCCTCGAACAGTAGCTTTGTAACTCGCATTGTACTGGACTTCCTAACTATATAAATTAACAGTAAAAGGAATTTTTATAAAAGCTTGAGTCTGTCTCCAGATATATTGTACATTTTCTTTCAGATTGATGTCAGCACACACAAGTGATTGCCACCAGATTTTTGTATCAATCTGAGTCACTAATCCGGTGCTAATCCAGTGCATGCAGACAATCTAAGAGAAAATACTGTGGGATTATATATTTGTGTTGACAGTGGAACTGTTGTTGAAATAATACTGAATACATGTACAAGTATATTCATGTGCCTCTTATGCTAATTTATTTGCACTATAGTGTTCTATTTCACGTGAACACCTGTGTTATATGATTCATTTCCTCAAATTTTGTAGGATTTTTTTTTGGAGGGACTGAATAATAATTTAAACTAGAACAAACAGTCACCACCCAGTAGACCACAAGGTTTATCAGCGCGCATGGGCGGCCAGACACTAAAAGGAATTTTCATTGCCTATATAAAACAGGATACTACTTTAGTGAACCGGCCACATGTATTTCTATAGGAATGGCGGTGACAGGGTTGTCAATAAGGATTTAATCTCCAAAACCATTATATCGATAAAACATAATTACGCAACATCCATGATTTTTCTTGTAAGAAATTATTTTTGTCTCGTCCAGAAATATCACACATATACATACTTTTTCCCCCCATTTCACTGTGAGAACTACTTGAATCTTGGATTACTAACTCAACACTAACTGCTAAAATACACACATGGGCTTGCCAAAATGAACCATTGTTACCACAATTTGTATAGTCATCTGACTGTATGCAACCCTGGAAACGTTCAGTGTGTACAGTATTGCGGTGATATGGGTTTTTCATCTGTCCTGTCACAAGGCATGGATGACATATACAGCAAGGATTGATAAATAAAGGTATGCAACTTTCATAAGCAAACTTTCTTAATTTTTGAGTAAGATCCCATTTCTGACACATCAAACAAACTTAACAAATGATAGTTCAGTATAGTCTTCAATGTAAGGGGTGCAAAGCATTAGACGCTTGGTGGATAAACACTGCCAAAAGCTGTCCGCAATGAACACAAATTATTTTTATCGACTTGTACTTTGAATTAGGAATTTTAGGTTTCTCAGTGATCATATTGAGAGACTTAAATTCCTCAATCTGTCTATGATCTTCTTAGGATATAATATGAACCCTTAAGTAAGAAATCCTTGATATACCGATATGTAAAAGAGAATATCACAACTCTAAGACAACAAAAGATTTTTGAGTTGATTCTTTATTGTCAAAGCTCTAGGACAACTGGTCTTCATAAAATAACAGCCACAGTGCATGTCATTGGTGGAATTTCCCTGCGCACGTCTGTGCATAAAATACATTGTGGTGCACAATACTGCTACTGTGAGATGTCTATGAATTCTACATGTTAATAAACTGCCGATTCAATGCTTCAAACAACTCTTACAACTCAAAATATATTCAAAAAAAAATATGATAGCATCGTCTTGAATATCTAAAGAAACTTTGGATGTAAGCCCACATTACTAGAAATTACCAGTACTTTTGAAAAAAATCACTATGGAAAGATGTATCCAACCAAATCCCAGCAATGGAAGAATTGCGGGTATATCAACATATTAAATATTTTGCATATAATTATCTTAGATATGATTTGACACATCATATATAATGCAAATGCTTGTCATAATTACAGTTAAGATAACACTTGATAACCTAGACTATGATGTTGTTTCCAAGCAGTTTGTCAAAGTCTGCAATGCAGCTGGGTTTCACCATATAGGTAAACAACAAGGTTACTGATAAAAACTTTGCAGGTTTGTAAATATATATTGAATCCAAATTAATGGTATTTCAAAATGAAACAATGTAACGACTGATAATCCAATTAATAACAGCAAATCAAAATTGTTTTTGATAAGCCTACAACGGATATCACGAATAAAGAACACTTCTTATTAAAGTACCCCTAAGTGAGCATTAAAAAAAAAGACTTCATGCTTGTCTCGTTCAGTGAGGAGGGGGAACTAATATTGAATAATTCTTCAGCAAAGATGTAATAAAAACTGTAAATGGTGCAAAGAATACAAGATTCAAAAATATGCTGTCTGTTTACAGAGGTGAGTTGTTATAAAAAGAACTCTTCAAAATTCCAGAGTAAATGTGCATAATACTAAGAGTAAACTATTTGGTAATTAATACTATTTTGCCACAAAGCACTGGAAGAACTAATTTTGGCAGGTTGGAAATTCAACATGAAGATATTGCATTTACTTCTAACATGGAAATACTGGATCTAAACGGGCCATCTGCATGCACTCAAATTTTTGGTAAACAATTTATTTTACTATTTTCACTCCTACAAATTTTCATGTTTTTCACTGATGAAAATTTGTGGGTGTGAAATTAACATGATTTACATCATTTTGAATGGACACATATTAAACATTGCCTTGTAAAACAACTACCATATACTGAGGTGCAGACTATAACTAGGTGAGCATCTCACTCATCTAAGCTTCAGTCATCGCATAAGAAAGGATAATATTTTAAGCAGAGTCAGGATTACTGCTTTAGTGGGTGGATTATTATGGCGCATTGTTGAAAAGATGCTCTTTTGTTTTTCCAGTACACATGATTCTTGAATGAAAAAAAAAAAATCAAGCTGAATTTAAAACATTATTTTGAAAATGTAAACAAAAAAAATCATTCTGTAAACCACCAAAAATTTTAATATCAAAATAATTTCAAATAAAAATGAAGGACACTTAACGAATTCTAGATTTACAGATAACTGAACATTTTACGTCGTTAATCTATCAAGACAGTGTCCGTGTACTAAGGTAGAGGAATGGAAAAGTACACGATTGTCAATCGTACATTCAAATTTTACAATGCCTCATACACATGTTGTATACATCACATAACAAACGCGTTACTGCGCAACAACGGTCACTCTATTAAATGATTGGATGGTTCACAGGTCAGCGTACATACACTACGTAAATGTCAAATATAAATGTGATAATGTGATTCTTCTAGGATAATTTTCGTAATGATTGTTATAAACTGTTGATCATTACTAGATTTCTCCAACTTATGCTTTGCCCTTCTCTTGCTTTATTGCTGAAAATAAAGTAATAAAAAGAATTAGTTTAAAATATGTAATAATTAACAAATATCATCTGCTAACTGCACAACACCAAACAACTAATATTTTATTTAATATATGACTTTAGCAAATCTCATTTCAAGATTTAGTCACATGACTGACTACATAAGCCAGTCTAATTCAGTCAGCCAATCACATTTAAAGATGTTGGTCACATGACTGACTACATTAGCCAATCAGAATGTTTAAATGCAATGCCAATGGTGTTGATTAGGATTCAAAGGGAAAATGTTTGTAAATTTTGAAAAGTGATTCATTTCTGGTTCTGAGATGGTTATATTTTTCAGTTTTTTTAGCACAAACCAGAAAAAATTTCTGAGTGGCACATTTTGACCAGAAATAAATCATTTATGGCTTAAAATGAAAAAAACAAAGTGAGTGAATAGCACAAGACGAAGAAGTTTTTTTTAATGGTGATATTACAGAAATAGTCTGCTGAAGGCATCGATGTGGGGTAAATATTTAAAAAAAATCAGTGTTTACAAGATTTATTGCAAGCTTCCACAAGAAAAAAACTACTACAGCGTGCTTTTAACAAACTAGGAACTTAGCAGCCACTTTGAATTTTATCTAATCAAAATTATTGATCTATGGACAATTTGCATATTATAGGGTAATTGTGAATCATCATGGCCGCCAGGAAAAGCACAGTAATGAATAGGAACTAATAATGTTAAAAATATATCATTAATAGTAGGGTAAAAAAAATTTTTTATTGCTGAGTTGACAAAGGAAAAAGCAGTGAACTCGGAATTAGATTTCAGTGAGACAAAAAAAAAATAGTTTTAGGGTTAAACTGCAATTGTTGAAATCTTTACTCACTGTTCAATCACTGTCAAGTGAAGGCTTAGACTGAAAATAAATGTTGAAATATACATCATATTTAAAGCAAATTTTATTCATGTTTAACATTATTACTCCCCAAAGTCCTGTATTTCATGACCTTCTAAAGGTCAAACATCCTGGTACTTAACCATGACAAGACGTAATTACACCCACAAAAGGATTTGTTAACAGAATTATTCCTGCCCAAATTTTGGTGAAAATTTGTTGTGATATTTTTCAAATTTCAATACTGTGGAATACTTTATTTTCACTGGAATTAATTTTCGCTGAAAAGGCTTTTTGGGCGTTTTGTGTGGAATTTATTTTCATTGAATTTTGATGAGTTTAATGTGAAATATAGGAAAAAAAGTATATTCACTGGATTTTATTTTCACGGAAACATCCCTTCAGCGAAAATAGCGAAAATAAATTCCAAGCGAAAATAAAGTATTCTACAGTATGTTGAAATTTCTTATTGAATTTGGTTTTTCACATTTTTTAACATTTTTTTTGGAGGAACATGGCGACCAGGTTTTTTTAACGCAACAAAGTAAATAAAAAAATTTTACTGTAAACCAATCAACTTTATTGTTGGCATATTTTACATATATAGAACAATTTAAAAAAAATACATGGATGTTTAGTTTTTAAAATCTGCTTTGTAACCGAAAACCATACTTCACAATGGGATATGTCCTGAAGCAAAAATAATTGCAGATTACTGGATTTGGCAAGATACAATACAAGATGAGGAGGCGTAAACATGCAGACAACAGTGTCTGGCCTAGGGCAATATCTGACATTCAATGATATCCCCACGGAATGTACACATGCTGTAGTATTAAATTTCTAGAATTAGGAATACAAGTTTGTCAATCTCTCTTTGAATTATAGAGGAAATACTGGTAATATCTTCTTACAACAAAATTATACATCACTTAAGTTACCGTCTGAATTGGAATACATTTACAATTGTGGACGCATAAAGAGAAGAAATAAAATCAAAGAAATTTCTTTTTAACAAAAAAAATAACAGAAATCAATAACTACCATGAGTGTTATTACTGAGTTTGAATTAAATCGGCTCAGGCATGACTGAATAAACAAACAAAACTTTTCAAACGTTGATTGATGAGTATAAAAATGGTCAACATAAAAAAGAAAACGAATCGGTCCAGGCATGTCCAAGAAATAACATCGGATGCACAGATGGATGGAACTTAAAACTTTCTGACTAAGTCTAATGGGAAGTAAAACAAAATAAAAAAACCCATAAAAATTGTAATACTCCTTATGCAAAAATGAGAACAAAATGTTTACATGCAACCCCACCCCCTCCAATAAAAATATTTCAGACTTACCATCAGCGGTAGGCAATGGGTTCTTTTCTTCTGTTTCAACATGTTTTAGTTTGGAATGATCAAATGACTTGACCTCTGCTCTCGAATCTACTGCTTCCTCCTTGATTGCTGAAACCGAACAGAATTATTGATTGTTCACAAGACGGAAATCAATAACCATATCATATTTTCAATCACTAAACTACTTCAAATACTGTTTTTACAATTTTGGCTGTAATTTTTTTCTAATTTAAACAAATGGTTTTAAATTACCCGGTACGACACTTTATGGACAAATATGAGTTTATAGGGAAAATTTGGTAAAATGCATTAACATGAGTGGGTGTCAAGTCTGGTGATACTGTTTTATTTATATCAGGGTTCCTACAGCTACAGCATATGACATTTAGGACTTTTCAAGGCTATATTTTTTGAAATTCAAGACAGAAATTAGATGTATTAAATGACTCTTCCAAATTTGAAATATATGGTCAGAAATTAAACAAGATATGCTATTCATGCATTTTTTGTATCCAAACTGAATTCATTTGTCCAGGCTCATGTACAGAGATATAGTAGTATGTTAAAAAAGCATGATTGCAAGCAGTCAACCATCTTTGACCTGATTGTAAAACTAATTGTCATGGACATGTATCCTATTAAACATGTATAATTAGTAGAGAATAATGCATATATATATTTGAACAAAAACTGACAAAGCTGTCACAGGATACCGCATTTTCAAAAAACAAAATTGCTGCCAGTCGACAACATTTGATCCGATCGCAAAATGACTCATCAGACATGTCTCCTAACATGTATAATGTACATGTATGTACCAAAAACTGACAAAGCATGCATAAGATACCACTTTTTTAAAAACAAAATGGCTGCCAGACAGCCATCTTGGATTGAATCATTAAACTACTGCATGTGCATACGTTCCTGATAAAGTACTAGTCACATGCAAAGAATGAACAGACTTGGTCCACAGAGTTCTGAAATAGGACTCCAAACGGACGAGACCGAATTATAAGTCCCTGTTTCGAACTTCTATTAAGACATTTGAAGACTTGTTACTGTTATGATGGCAACCATCATGTACTCACTTTCTTTGGTTGGTAAGATGTTCTTTTCCTGTGTTTCCACATGCTTCAGTTTAGAAGCATCAAATTTGGAGACTTCACTGATGTCTGGTTTGTCATCTGGCTGTAGTTCAGCTCTCATATCTGCAAAATGAAAATTTAATTTCAAGAATTGTCTATGAGCATAAAGGCTCCTTAACATGGCCCGTATTCATCTGATTGTTCCATGAATGACCATTTATTCATGAAATCGTTGTAAGGAAATTACACAAATTAATCATCTCGGAGTGTAGAATAGTGGAAGTTTATGAATAACATCATCAAGGATTGTGTAAAAAGTAAATAAATAGTAGAAAACTGATGTGATGATCAAATATTTTTCCTGTACAACAAATCACTAAAAAGCAGCAGCATAATGTATTGAGAAGTCTGTTCATTTGATTTGATTTTTGTACTGAAATAAATCTGTGGTTACACCATCAACAACTCTTCCCTTTCAGAATTTGTTGCACCATGTTGGATAATTTGGACATTCATGTGTTTGTATCAATCTCACCTTGAGGAGTCGGTAATACATTTTTTTCTTCTGTTTCTACATGTTTCAGTTTGCTCTGATCAAAACTTTTGACTTCAGCACGGGAATCGATTGCCTCATCCTTGATATCTAGTGAAATTAATATTGTAATATGAATCATAAGATTAACATAAAGAGAAAGTTTATTCAGTATACCTCCACTAATGGCTTGGAGTTACTACACTAATGGCTTTGAGTAACTATAATAAGGGATTGGAGTTACTACACTAATGGCTTGGAGTTACTACACTAATGGCTTTGAGTAACTATAATAAGGGATTGGAGTTACTACACTAATGGCTTTGAGTAACTAGAATAATGGCTTGGAGTTACTACACTAATGGCTTTGAGTAACTAGAATAATGGCTTGGAGTTACTACACTAATGGCTTTGAGTTACTACACTAATGGCTTGGAGTTACTACACTAATGGCTTTGAGTAACTACAATAATGGCTTGGAGTTACTACACTAATGGCTTTGAGTTACTACACTAATGGCTTGGAGTTACTACACTAATGGCTTTGAGTAACTATAATAATGGCTTGGAGTTACTACACCAATGGCTTGGAGTTACTACACTAATGGCTTTGAGTAACTAGAATTATGGCTTAGAGTTACTACACTAATGGCTTTGAGTAACTAGAATTATGGCTTAGAGTTACTACACTAATGGCTTTGAGTAACTAGAATAATGGCTTTGAGTAACTAGAATTATGGCTTAGAGTTACTACACTAATGGCTTTGAGTAACTAGAATTATGGCTTAGAGTTACTACACTAATGGCTTTGAGTAACTAGAATAATGGCTTTGAGTAACTATAATAATGGATTGGAGTTACTACACCAATGGCTTTGAGTAACTAGAATAATGGCTTGGAGTTACTACACTAATGGCTTGGATTTACTACTATCTTATTGGCTAACACTCACTGATGGATGTTTTTCAAATAATTTAATATAATGTAGTAGTAACAGTGAGCTTGTGTCTGGTGATAGAATTTATTCTGGTGTATTTGCTTTTTTGACATGGGTACAGTTAAAATAAGCCATGCATAGCACAGTCCCTGTTAGTTATCAAATTTAAGATATATAGTTTAGTTTATAGTAATATAGCTAGAACATAAACATGTCAGGAATATGATTATGATGATTGTTTAACATTAAAATGATTGACATTTGTATCTGATCGTCAAATGAGTATTGAGAGATATTGCTCTGTAGCAGCATTAATTAAAACAAAATCAGCCATTTTGAATACATGT